CTACCTGTGAACGACCAAGAATGTCTACTCTCTAAGGCATGCATGTAACTAGCGGCTCAGATATCATCCCAAAGCAGCTGTGAGAAACTCCAGAGATGCTCCCAGAGGCAGAAACCTCCAAGGCAAGAAAAAGAACAAAATGACTAAGAGTAATCTGGTTCTGCTTCTGATTGAGGAGATTGCTATCCCCCCTACCTCCTACATAAACTGACTCCCCCAACCCTAGCCCTACAGTGACCTCCAACTCTGGTCACATAATGATCCCCTAGGCCCAGTCAGACTTCTAAGGGAACCACAAACATTAGTAGCAACAAATCAAGTCGACCTTCAGGACGAAAATAGAGCCTTTTATCAGAGAGACTGTAAACTTCTTGAGGGCAGGCACTGTCTCACTTTTCTATTTTTATTCTATTTTCTATTTTTCTATATTTTCTTTTTTGGATCCCCAGTGCCTGGTACAGTGCTTGGCACATAGTAGGTGTCTAACAAACACAGGTTGTTTAGTGAGAAGACAGATCAATGTTTCAGAATATCACACTAATGAAGCCCGAGTCCTAGGTTTTACTCCTGGGTAGATCAATCAATCAGTCAATAAACATTTATTAAGTACCTACTATGTACCATATATAACTCTGGATCAGAGCTTCTCTGTAAACACTCCTTGGTACAGACTGCAAGGGGAAATACCTCTAGCTAGGAAAGGAGCAACCCTCATAGATAGATCCCCACACCACTTGAGGTTTTTCCTAGAGTAGACCCATAACCTACCAGATTGGTTCTTATTCAGACCTTGGGCTGACTCTGAAAAGTAGCCCCTTGATTAGGAGGACAAAAAGATAGCCAATGCACCAAGGGGCAACTAGGTGGCACAGTGAATAGAGTGCTGGGCCTGGAGTCAGGAAGACTCATGTTTATGAGTTCAAATCTGGTCACAGACACTAGCTGTGTGACCCTGGGCAAGGAACTTAACCCTGTTGCCTCAGTTTCCTCATCTATAAAATGAGCTGGAGAAGGAAATGGCAAACCCCCCCAGTATCTTTGACAAGAAAACCTCAAATGGAGTCACAAAGAGTCATACACAATTGAACAACAAAATTGGCACCAAGACCAAAGTCACTACCCCATACTTCTCTTCACCTTTTTTCTCCCCCTTCAGTTTTCTTTGGAAGAAGAGGTACAACGAAGTGGGTATAGGACAAGATGGTATAAGGACTGCTGAGGTTAGCTCAAAGTTCTCCCTCCTACCAGAGAACGGAGTACAGGCTAGCCTTCTGTGTGAAGCAATCTTCCATGCAGCAGCGGCATGCCAGGAGGCCACAGACTGGCCAAGGGCCCTGGGGTTCTGGGTTTTTGAAATGAGTAGGAGAAAGCTGGAAGTTTTTCCTCAGAGTAAAAAAAGGAAGGCCAGAATTAGAACTGTTACTGATAACTTCAAGTCGTGAAACTCCTCCTAACTTGTACCCAGAATTTCTTTAAAGAGTGTTTGTTTAATATAGTGACTTCCATTCATTATATAAATCTTAGTAATTACTGACTGTGTGTGTGTGTGGGGTCTGGACCTTTGACCTCATTGGTGTAAAGAATTCCTCCCAAATGCAGATTGGTGACTGTTCTTCAACTTTGAGTCTCAGAGAGTTTCTTGGAGCACTAAGAGATTAAGTGACTCACCGCATGGTCACACAGTCAGTATGTTGAAGAGGAAGGGCGTGAACCAGAGTCTTGACTCTAAGGTCAGTTATCTATCCACTAAGCCACAGTGCCTCTCAGTCACTGAATGGTTAATAGTATTACTATTATTTAAGTACAGAGGAGGGGGGAGTAAAAAAGTATAAAAAGCCTCATTGCGCTAAATGTTGCATTCTTTCAGTGAGCCTGCAATAAGGGCAGGGCAAGCCTGGTCTCTGGGACTCCACAGGTAAACCCAGGCTCTGATGTTTTCTTGGTAGCTAGTATTAGAACAGTCATGTCTAGAAAGTTGCAGCCAACCTTGCTCTTAACCACACCTCTTAGGTGAAGGCAAGTGTTATTCTGATCGCGTCTCCAGCTCCGTCCAGATTGCACCCATACCTAAGGGTCACAAATTGACTTCGACCTTGGCCACAGATTGATCTCTAATCTTGGCTCACCATCACACAAGAGTGTGCTACTGGTCAGAGAGAGTGTGGATGGTTCACTGTAAACCCTATCCCCTGCTACTGGGGGAAGAAAATGATTCTAAACCTATGCCCAGTTGGTGGCTAATTAGGTACCATATACTCATAGCTAAAGAATGGTACATGCAATTCTTGGTTAAGCTCTTTCTCACTTCCATTATCAAGCATGGTAAAAATAGAATCGGGCTTCTGTCTGACTGTTATCACATCATTTGGGTTAAGGAAAATCCCTGCCCTCAAATGTTTAGTCCTCTCATTTGTCTCTAAAGCAAAGCTGCCATCATACATAGTATAGTGGAAGAGCTATGTCTCATCCCCTGCCCTGACCACCCATCCTTGGCCCTAATCAGCTCTCAGTGATAGATGTTATAAGCAACTCAATATTCCAAAGGCCAGCATTCCGAAATGAAGTTACCATCATTCAGTACCAATCATGCCCGTTGCAAAATGTCAGAATTGAGGAAGTCACTTAACCTCAGTTTTCCCATCTGTCAAATTAGGATAATAATACCCACTGTACCTAACTCACAATATTGTTTCAGTAACAAAGTTATACAATGAACAGAGAGCTATATTCCTAGACAGATACAGCCTCAGGCAAATCATATATGTGGACTCTCCCTTCCTCCAGTATTTATATACAAGTGAAATCGGATTACAGTGGCCATCAAGGGCATTGTTGAAGAGAAAAGGGATAAGAAATGTCACAAAAGGAAGCCATGCAGCCTTAGGGAGGAGTGGGGACAGACATCTAGCCCCAGCTCACCATGGTGCTAGATGGGGAAGGAAGTGGTTCATAGATGGCGGGATGATTAGGAGCCTCAGGTGTTTTAAAGCACCAGATGGCAAGGTTGGCCAGGTCTTTCCTCCCCTACTAGGTGCCTCCCTGAAACACTGCCCAGCCACCTGGTCCCTGGAGCCACGGAGACCCTCAAAGCACAGAACCCAGGGCCATCACCCCAATTCTTTGTATTCTAGGGGCAGCCCTGAAGAGATGTGAAAGAACTTTGAAAAGCATAAATCCCTGTACAAATGCAAGGCCTTACCTTTTCTTATTCTTGGCATAAATATTGCCCAGAGAGCAGGTGCGGTATCTGGGGTCTCATTAAAGAAGGAGCAGCCCCCTCTGCAAAATATAGGGCAGGAGGATTTCAAGGACAGCCAGGATAGAGGGGAGATCTCTGAAAATCCTTCTCCAAGATGCAGGGTTTAAATTTGGCCAGAAAGGACATATAGAGAGGAAGAACACACAGACCCAGGACTGTGAGTCACTAGCAGTGATGAAAGGGCCAGAGGCTTCACTAAAGAAAGCAACCAGAGCTGGATTCTAGTGTAGAATCCACCACTTCCCAGCTGTGTGACCCTGAGGAAATCACTAGCCCTCTCTGGGCCTCGAGTTGATTCTTCTGTTAAATGAGGGAGTCAAGCTCTAAGGTCCCTTCCAGCTCTGACATTCTACAAGTCCATGATGGGGTATCTAAGTTCTAAGGCAATTGACAAGGGGTCTGCCATATACAGCAACCCCAAAGGGGGCAGGGGAGAGGGAGGAGGGAGGAATGGTACAAGTCATAGGCAGGAGGCAACATTATGTTTACATACTCTAGACTGGATGCAAGCATAGTTAACTTCCTCCAGGCTCCATTATCCATAGCTCACACCCTCTGAATCTGTTCCATGAAGATCATTAATCTGAAAGAGTGGGGAATCAGTCTTTAGGATTTCTTCCTTTTCCTTTAGCAAGACCCCAAAGATGTGTTAATAATGCTGGTGTCTGACAGACAGGACTAAGTCCTCCCACCAAGGCAGCCCATATTAGGTCAGGTTCCTTAGGGTCTGGAGGCATTCAACTGTTCACTTTAGAGCCATGGTAGTTGACCCTCCAAGGCATCCAAATATATCTAATATATATCCCCCAGCTGAAATGGAGCTAAGAACAAGAAGGCAGATGAGAAAATGAGCTGTTATGCTCTTGATGAGTTTGTAACACTGGCCTTGGAAATCTTAGTTTAGTTGGCTGAGCTGGCTTATTTCCTTTCTCATATTTCAAACCAAAGTTAAGCCTGTAGGCACTGAGAAGAAAATAAAGTTTTTGTTTAGTTATAGAAGAAAACAACAAACAAACAAAAATATCCATTTAGTCAAAGAGCCTATCTAACAGGTAAGCCCTGAACCAGATCCTACTATGGCAAAAGAGCGAAGTCGGTCTGGTTAGGTGACCTTGAACAAGGTCACCTTTTCTAGGCCTCAATTTCTGCCTCATAAAAAGAGACAGTTGGACGGGAAGATCTCCAAGGTCCAACTGAGCTGTGATATTCTATGGCTCTATGATTGATATTGAAAAATCACTAAAAGCCCATCATAAAATTTAGGAAAGCAAACCATTGAAAGAAATCCCACGCATGTTTAAAGTCCTTACTCCTGCAACGCTCCCCTTCAGTGATTTTCTGAAACTGTGAAATAGCCATGACAGCTTGTGCTCACTCAGATGCTAAAATTTAGCAGCAATGTGCTTATTCCAGGGCTCCCCTCCTTACTCAGGCAATGGACAAGCTGGAAGCTTCCTCCCGGGGACTTACCCACTGGGCACATGGGTGGGTCGAGGATAAGGAGGGCTAACACTTATCAATAGGGGTGGCTTTACCCCACTTCCCCATTTTCTTCCCCACCCATCCTAGAGTACAGGAGGTATGAAGCCCTGGCAGATATGGGCCCACTCTTCAAAAACTATTGCATGAATGCTGGGCTTGGCTCTCTTCTCCACAGCATGTTTCCCTGCTGTCCTCTGATGCTGAAAGGAAAGAAGAGAGGAGAGGGCTGGAAAGACAGGCCAGCCAGCTGCCTGCCTTCTCAGCAGCAATTGCAGGTGCCTGTGTGGACTCGGAGGATGCCCCGGCTGTGCAGGTGGAGAAAGTTAAAGATCTCGGATGGCATGGCATGGAAGCCAGGGCGAGGCTTCACGTTGTCATAGTAGTGGTGGGTGATGAAGAGTCCCGAGGGGTTCATGGGAAAGGCCCAGAAGCCAAACAAGTGAACCTCCTCACAGAGCTCCAGGGCCGCTGTCACCAGGATGAGGCCTGTACTGATGCGCTTGGCACGCACACCAAGGTTGAGCCAGTAGCGGGACACGTTGATCAGATACTGAGGGTGGAAATAGTAGACCGCCTGTGGGGACTCAAAGTCATCCAGCACATACTTGACCCGGATGGAGACATCGGTATTACGGGTGTTGTAGAAGGCTGGAAGAAGCACCGAGGCATTCTCGTAGACCTGCAACACCTGGTAGAAAGGTCGCCTCCACTTCTCCAGCTTGTGGAACCTGGGCAAGAGTAGAGAGGCCAAGCAAGATGGAAAACAGCTGAGGACATGTTAGATGTTTTATTTATCCTAATTATATCTCATCTTCCTCGATTTGGCTCAGCCTTCTAGACTGGTAAGATCTTGTCAAGGGGGTTATAAATTAAGCCAGGCTGACTTGGGCTGGCTCACAGACATAATGTAAAGAAGACTGTTTTGGGGAGGTATTATGGTAAAAAGGGGATCTAGGTGCAAATTCTTGCTCTTCCACTTACTAGAAGTGAGGACATCACGGTACAGCAGGAAAAATCCAGGATTTGGAGCCAGAGAATCTGGGTTCAAACCCCACCTCTGGTGCTTACTACCTATGTGACCTTGAGCAGGCCAATTAACTTCTCTGGGTCTCAATTTCTTTCTGTCAAATAAAGAGGCTGGGTTAGATGGTCTTTGAGGGACCTTGCATCTCCCTTCTCTGGGTCTCACGCCTCGAATGCCCTCCCTCCTCACCGCCACCTCCTAAAATCCCTCTCTTCAAGATACAGCTCACATTGCACCTTCTACATGATCCCTCCTCCTCCCAGCAGCTAGTGTCCTCCCTTCCTAGTGACACTTGTATTTATAGAAATGCTTATTTATTCTGTATCTGCTTTCATATGTATTTACCTTCTCTTTTTTGAATATAAGCTCTTAGAGGCCGAATACAGTGCCTGGCACAGAGCAAGCACTTAATAAATGTTTACAGATTGATTAATTAATTCCAGCTCTAAATCTACATCCTACTAAAATAGCTGTATGATGGGGAGCAATTAACTTCATTATTCTGAGCCTTGGCTTCCTCATCTCCAAAGTCCCATGAGGCCCAGCTCTAACACTCACTAATCATCTATCTCTGGGCAGAGTCCCCATGAGCTTCAGTTTCCTCACCTATATAATGGGAATAATATCTCACAGGATCACCGTAAAGAAAGCACTTGGCAAATCTTAAGTTTCTACATAAATGTGAGTTCTTTATTTGTGGCATTGTCTCTTTTCTCTTCCTGTACAAAAGATTAGAAACCAGGTCTCCTGATTCATAGCTTTGGGAATCAAAGTCAAGTTCACTGACCTCTAGTGTATGGTATTATTTTCTCTACTTCACACAGATAGTTAATGTGGTAGAGCGGGTAGAGAACTGGCCCTAGAATGAGGAAGACCTATTTTAAGTTCTGCCTCTGACACAAACTGGCTGTGTTACCCTGGGTAAGTCATTTCCTATTTCTAGGCAGCTCTCAAAGCCTCTAACCTACAGAGCAGGTGCTGCCTGAACTGGAAAAGGGTGAATTTCTATACAAATGAAATCACAGGTCTTCTCTAAAAAATATACCTAACAACAGGACACTAGGTAATAGGGTAATGAATGGTGAATGGAGCCAACAGTAAGTGCTCTGAGAACTCAGAGGAGCAAGTCATTAGGGAGGTTAGGGATGGACCTGGAGTCAGAAGTTCCAGTTTTGTCCTTAAGTTTGTCTTCAGGTTCTATAGCTTGTCAAGATCTTCCAAGGCATCCATCATCCCTTCTATATGTGCATGTGCTGCAAATTTAATAAGCGAGTCATCTAAGTCATTCATGAAAATGTTAAATAGTGCAGAACTGAGGCCAGATCCTTGTCTAGAGATCTCCTTCAAAAAAGAAATTGACCTATTGATGACTACTCTTTGAGTCTAGTCATTCAACCGGTCCCTAAATCCACTAATTGTCTGTTTTTCATTTTTCATTTTTCACTGGCTGTACCCCTTGGGTTCAACTCTATCATCATTAAACCCTCCCCCCTAGGAAAAACTCATCACCAGCAAACTCATCACCAGGGAGATTGTATCAGCTTTAGTATTCACACCTCAGTTGCCTCTCTCCCTTTGATTAGAAGATGGAGTAAAAAAAATGTCTGCCAAAGCCTCTATTTAAAGAGGCTTTAAAGCCCAGTCAACTCTTCTTTTCTCACCACCTGCACCCCTTCAATTCAACTCCATCATCATTATGCCCTTGTATTGGGTACTTTCTCCTCCCTCCATTTTTAATTTCCTTTTGTGTTTTGTCTCCTCCTATTACATGGTAAACTCCTGAAAGGCAGGGACTTTTCTCTCTTTTTCTTATTTGTGTCTCCAGAGCTTAGCATAGTGCCTGGCATATAGTAGGTGCTTAATAAATGTTTATTGTATTATATCGTATCTTGCTTTTGCTTGGTAGTTTTTCAGTTGTGTCTGACTTTTCATGACCACATTTTGGGGTTTTCTTGGCAAAGATGCTAGAATTATTTGCCATTTCCTTCTCCAGGTCATTTTACAGATGAGGAAACCGAGGCAAACAGGGTTAAGTGACTTGCCCAGGGTCTCATGGCTAGTAAGTGTCTGAGGCCAGATTTGAACTTAGGAAAATGAGTCTTTCTGATGCCATGCCTGATGTTCTACCCACTGCAACACCTAGGTGTCCAAATCATATATTATCTTACATCTTTTCCACAATGGTAGCATGAAAGAATTCTAAAACCTAGATATACTGTAGCCACAATAGTCTTTGTATCTATCAGTCTAGTAGGGATAAGGACCAAACCTGTGATTTTCCTTATTTAGAGAACTCCCAGATGAGTAAGTTTCCTCCACCAAAGCAGATTGGCACGTTTTTAGAAAGTTGTCTAGAGCACTAAAATGATAAATGACTTTCCCAGAGCTATATAGTCAGACCAGTATGTGTCAGAAATGGAACTTGAACTCAGGTCTTCCCGACTTTGAGGTCACCTCTCTATCTATTAGTTTAGTAACTGTCAAAAAAAAAAGTAAATGAGCTTAAACTGGCAGGACCTCTTCTTGTGATGACCACTGCCTTTTCTAGATGTTCATTGACCATCCCTTTAATAGTACATTCCAGAATTTTGCTGGGAATCAGTCAAGTTTGCTGACCTATAGTGTGAAGACTCCATTCTCTTCTCTAGTTTGAAAATTAAAATAACATTTACCCTTATACCATCCTATGGCCCCTCTCCTATTCCCCTTGATCGCACAACAATCACTCATGATGGCAGAGAAATCAGACCTGCCAGCTCTTTCAGTCATGGAGGGTATAACTCCTCTAGGCCTCTCTCTTAGCAGCTTCCTAATCAACTTGAGTATCAATTCCTTACTAAATAGTTTTGAATGGCCAATAAGGGATCAATGTCATCTTGGGGGGAGGTTTCTAATAGAGTGCTCTAGAGATCTGTCCTTGGCCTTGTGATACTATGAACAGTTTTGTCATGAGATTGTAAGCTACTCGAGGGCAGGGACTGTCTTTTGCACTTTTTTGTATCCTCAGTGTTTAGCCAAATGCCCAGCAGATAGTTGGCACTTAATAAATGTTTATTGACTGACTGACTGTCAGTGATTGAAGGCACATCTGGTATGCATGCCAAAGATTGCTGTTGTTTAATCATTTCTCAGTCATGTCCAACTCTTCATGATCTCTTTTTGGGGGGGTTTCTTGACAAAGACACTATATTTACTCTATTTATGCTATATTTACTCAAGCTGAGTTTACAGTTTATTAAAAGCTTGATTTCACATGAACTGTGGTTTAGCCTTTCCCTCTCCAGTCTATATTTGTACAGGTGCTTTTTAAAACTCAAATGTAGGGCTTCACATTTGATACTATGAAGTTTCGTCTAAAAAGATGAATATAAAAATACTCTGTTCTGTGTGATAGCCTATTAAGATCTTTTTGGATGACTTTCTTCATCTACAATGTTAATTATCCCTCCCATATCTTAGTCATGGGACAGATAGGTGGCAAAACAGATGCACTGGGCCTGGAGTCAATAAGACCTGAGTTTAAATACAGCCTCAGACACTTACTAGCTGTGTAACCTTGGGTAAGGCACTTAATCTTGTTTGCCTTAGTTTTCTCATCATTGAGTTGGACACAGAAACAGAATGCTTGCCATGGAAAGCAAAAAGATGAGAGTACATCAGTAGAGGCAATGTTCAGAATAAGGGAGGGGATAGCTCCTCATACTCTGGGAGTATTATATTCAGTCTGGGGCACCATGTTTGAGAAAAGAATACCCCCAGAAGACACACAAGATGGTAAGAGGACTGGGAGTTCTACCATACAAGGATGGCTCAAAGGACATAGGAATGTCTAGCCAAGAGCAAAGAGGACTTAGCTGGGGACATGATAGCTTATTCAAGTATTTGAAGGTCAGTGCTCAGCAGGGTGCCTGATAGCTTGTTGGGGTTTTTGTTCTTGTTTTTGTTTTTAGCTATTTTTCAGTCAAGTCCGACTCTTCCTCACCCCATTTGGGGTTTTCTTGGCAAAAATACAGAAATGGTTGCCATTTTCTTCTCCAGCTCATTTTACAGATGAGGAAACAGAAGAAAACAGGATTGAGTGACTTGTCTAGGGTCACACAGCTTGTAAATGTCTGAGACTGGATTTGAACTCAGAAAGAGGAGTCTTTCTGAACCCAGGCCCAGCACTCTATCCACTAAGCCACCTAGCTATCCTGATACCTAGTAGGTATTTAATAAATGCTAGAGACTGGTGGTTGTATGGAAGATGAATTAGGCTTATTCTGCTTGGCCCTAGAGTCAGATTTCACCTTTATAAAAGGGAATATGTCCTAACAATGAAAACTACCCCAAAGTGGAATGGGCTGCCTCAGAAAGTAATGGGGTTCCTCTCACTGGAAGTCTTCAAGCAAAGGCTAGATAGCCTCTTGTTAGGTGTCTCATAGAGGGAATTCTGATTCAGGTGTAGACTGGATAAGAGGCCTCTAAGATGGACCCTTCCAACTCTGAAATCCTGTGACTCACGTCCCTAACACTTATTAGCAATCATCTCTGAACTTTCAGGCCTAATCAAGACCATTTCCCTCCACCCCTGCTTTTTATTTGGTGCTGGACAGCCTGTCCATGACTTAAGACGAGAGAAAAGGGAGAGAAGTAACAAAAAAGGAAAGAATGAAGGTAAGGAAAAGAAAGGAAAGACAGAAGGAAGGCTGAGGAGGTCAAGAGGAGGCCCCTTCAGTAGAGATTTATCTTTAACCTGTCTTCAGGATCTCAGTGTTAGCCAGACCAGCCCCTAACAAAGCTATAAAGCAGACAACACTTTCCAATATCTCCTAAAATGCCACTACCTACTTCTGAGAGCAGGCCTTTTGTCCCTTTTCTACTAATTCAGTCCCAGATCTGTCAGACCTAGGACCAGTCACTTCCTCTCTACTTTGGTTCCTTCTTTAAAATGAGAGGATTCGAGCAAACAGACTTCAGAAGAACCTGGAAAAACTTATATGGACTGATGTTGAGTGAAGTGAGCAGAACCAGGAGAACATTGTATACATCTAACAGCCACGTTGTGCGATTACTAACTTTGATAGACTTAGCCCTTCTCAGCAATGCAAGGATCTAAGACATCCGAAAAGTCTCATGAAGGAAAATGCTGTCCACATCCAGAGAAAGAACTATAGAGTTTGAATGCAGATTGAAGCATACTATTTGCTCTTTCTTTTCTTCTGTTTTATTTTATTTTTTCTTTCTTGTGGTTCTTCCTATTGGTTCTAATTCTTCTTTACAACATCACTAATGTAAAAATATGTTTAATAGGAATGTACATGTAGAGCCTATATCAGATTGCGCGCCATCTTGGGGAGGGAGGGGGAGAAAATTTAGAACTCAAAAGCTTATGGAAGTGATTGTTGAAAACTAAAAATAAATTAATTAAAAAAAAAAAGAAAGGATTTGGGGGAGGGGACATGGTAAGGAAGTGGACATGGTGAAGAAGTAGACCATGATAGATATGCAAAAAGGAAGTAATAAAACACTTCTAAATGTGCAATAAATAAATAAATAAATAAATAAAAATGAGGGGATTGGACTAGATCTTTAGGGTCCCTTCCCAGTTGGCAATTTTATGGTTCTGGGATACTAGAGCAAGTGCTACGTGCTATTTAAAGTTTTCATGGCTGATAATAACTGAAGGTATGACCCGTCTAAGAGATTGAAAGATTCTTGAAGAGTCAGAAGGATCATAAGTGTAACATTATACTCTGGTGTAACATTATATATAGGTCTCCATTATTCTCAATAGAGAGAATATTGACTGGAGTTATTGGATTGGATTTCAGACTCCACCTCTGACACTTACCTATGTGGGCTTAAACAAGTCACCTATCTTCTCTAGGTGGGGGAAGGGGGAGGTTGGTATTAGACTGGATGACTTCTAGGGTCCCTTCTAGAGCTAAACACAGGACAAAGTTCAGACTAACCTCTCTGTTATGATGCTGGGGTTCACAGTAACAACATCAGTCTTTGCCCCAACGTCCTCAGTGTACTTCTCTGAGATCGGGGGTAGATTACACCTGCAGAGAAAATGAAAAAGCAAATTAAGCTGAAGTAAATGAGTCCCTTTACCCCTTCCATGCACAACTACTTGGGACCATCACCAGTCATCTTGAATTTTGTCTTGCCACTGGATTCCTATGACTCTGGAGGAGAGAGTGAGTCTGATGACTTTGCACAGCTCTGCCTCACTTAAATCAAATTCACACATGTGTCAAGACATTGCCCATTACATAATGTCATTGGTCCTCTTCAAAAAATGAAGGACAAACAATAACTACTACTACTACTACTGGGTGGGAGAGGGGGAAAGAGGGGGTGGGAGCAGGAGGAGGAAAGGAAATAAAAATAATTTTTCACCTGACTGTACTACTTTGCAATTTCTTTGACCTCGCCCTGCCCCAGGAAGTTCATTATTGGAAAAAGCTCATCAGTCCTGGGACTCCACCTCATCACCACCTTCTGCCCCTCTGATTGGAAGGTGAAGCCAGGAACACCAAAGCCTCCATTTAAGGAGGGAGCTCAGCTAAGTACAGACATCTCCTCATCTCTCACCTAGCTGCACTACTTTGGGACTCCTCTGCCTTCTGTACCTGAGTCAGGTACCTTTCCACCCTCCATCTTTCCCCCACCTTTTCAGCTTTCTTTTGTGGGTTGTCTTCACCCACAAGTTAGATTGTAAGCTCCTTGAGTGCAGGCATTGTTTTTCTTTTTTGTATTTGTCTCCCCAGTGCTTAGCATGGTGCCTGGCACATCGTAGGAGCCTAAAGTTTATTGACTATTCTTGATAATCATAGCCGACATGGTACATAGTATCTTAGAAGTCACCATATCTGTATAGACATGCCCACATTCAATGGCAACTGCTTTAGTCTGAGAGGCAGTGAGACATAGAATGCTGGGCTTATAACCAAAAATACCAAGGTTCATACACTTATAACCTATGTGACCATGGGCAAATCACTTAATCTCCCTGAGTCTCATTTTCCTTATTTGTAAGATGAGGGGAATAATAGCTGCTCTACTTACTTTACTACGTTGTTGTGAGACCCAAATGAGATAATGCATGTAAAGTGCCTTGTAAACCTCAAGGTCCTATAGAAACATCAATCATCATTATGATTGTCATCATATTTGGATCTTTTGAGACTAACACAGCATTATACACTCCTCTGTATTTTTTCATTTCTTTTGTGGGTCATTGTAGCCTACATTCTGGTGACTAGTCTCTCCTTTAACTAGACTGAGTCTTGAACAACACATAGTCTCTCTCTGATCCCTATCTGAAGCCAGAACTTTTACTTCACAACCAACAAGCACAGGAGAGCCTTCAATGAGGAACTCATTGCAGGAAGCTTAGAGTGGAAGGCACACAGGAGAAGCATAAAGTTGCTGATTTGACCCATAGGAGTCTTATACTATTAGATTTCTACTGTGTAGCTTATGGTGCCGCAGAGAGACAGCAAGATGGAGCAGGACCCATAGACAAGGATCCAGAAGATCTGATCCAAGCTCAGTTTTGTCACTTATTCTTTGTGCCTCAGTTTCCTCATCTATAAAATGGGGATAAGAATTATAAATCACACTTATATAGTGCCTAAAGGCTCACAGGGCACTTGACTTACAACTGTATGGGGTGGGTAGAACAAGCATTTTTATTCCCAATTTACAGATAACAAAACAAACTGAGGCTCAGAGATATAGGTTCTCATCGTGAATCATCTTTTTCCACTCACAGGCAAACTCCTAGAAAAAGTTATTTAAACTAGTCATCTTCACTTTCTCACCACATCCCACTCAAGGGTTTCTCAAACCTTTGTACTCTGGCTTCTAACTTTACTACTCGACCGAAGCTACTCTCTCTGAGGGTATCACTGATATCTATTCAATCCAATGGCCTTTTTTTCAGTTCTTGTCCTATTTGTCACACTGTCAAATACTTCCTCTTTTTGTATATTCTTTCTTCCCTTGACTTTTTTTTCTTGTTGTTGAGTTACTTCAGTTCTGTTTGATTCTTAATGACCCTATTTGAGGTTTTCTTGGCAAAGACACTTTGCTATTTCCTTCTCCAACTCATTTTACAGCTGAGGAACTGAGGCAAACAGGGTTAAGTGACTTGCCCAGGGTCACACAGCTAGCAAGTGTATGAATCCCCTTACCCCAACCTTTCTTTACCCCCAATAACTTGAATTTCTGCTGATAAAACTGTCATTATGACCTTCCTAATGAAAAGCAGGGATGAGCAGGCAGAAAACTGTACCTGGGAGTGGGAACTGTAGAATGCAAAAGTCTCAGGGTGTGAGACTCTTGGCTTTAGAACTTGCCTCATATTTCACTGAAAAAAAAAGAAATGAGACCATTTGCCAAGAGTTCCCTCTTCTCTCTTCCTCTTCATCTCACATCACCCAGATGCTTTCTGTTACTATCTTCTCCTTCAGCCCTATCCCACACGCAGAGGCAGCCCTTCTCCTTGCCAAGGCCAATCCCTCTACTTTCACAAGTGATCCCTCTCTACCTTGTCTTCTCCAGCAGATTGCACCTTCATTATCCCCACTCTCATTTTATCTTCAATCTCTTCCTATCTATTGGCTGCTTCCCTACTGCCTACAAACATTCTCATGTCTCCTCCATTCTCAAAAAACCCTTATTTGATCCATCTAGTTCCACTAGCTATTGTCCCAAATTTGTCCTCTTTTTTTGGCTAAATGCAGAATACCTGCAATGCTTCCACTTCCTTTCCTCTTGCTCTCTTTTTAAAAGTCTGTCTTCTAATCTCATCTTTCAACCAAAACTATTTTCTTCAAAGTTACCAGCGATTTCTTGATTGCCAAATCTTATGGCCTTTTCTCAACCATTATGTTTCTTAACCTCTTTGCAGCCCTTGATGCTGTAAATCACAATCTTCTCCTTGATTCTCTCTTCAGGTTTTACTCTAGTGTATCCTGGTTTTCTTCCTACCTAACTAACTTCCTACCTAACTAACTAACCTAACCAATTTTCTTAGTCTCTCCTTTGCTAGATCTTTATCCAAGTCACAATTGCTAATGGTGTATATCTCTCAAAGTTCTGTCCTAAGCCCTTTCTTTTTCTCCCATTATATTACTTCACTTGGTGATCTCATCAGCTCTCATGGATTCCCAATTATCTTCTCTATGCTGATGATTCTCACATCTACTTATCCAACCCTAACCTCTCTGCTAATCTCCAGTCTCTAATCTCCAATTGCCTATTGAACCTATCAAATTGGATGTCCCATATACATCTTAAGCTTAGTATGTCCTAACCTGAACTCATGACTTTATCTTCTTCAGAACTTCTCTATTAGTCAAGGGTACCACCATCCTCCCAGTCCCCCAAGCCTGAAACTTGGGTGTAATCCTTTACACCTCCTATATTCAATCTGTTGCCAAGTCCTGTCCATTTTACCTTTATAATATCTTTCATATATTTCTTCTTCTCTCCTCTGACACTGCCACCACTCTAATACATGTCCTCATTACCCCATACCTGGACTATTGTGATAGCCTAGTGTTTGGTTTCCCTGCCTCAAGTCTCTCCCTACTACAGCCCAACCTTGATTCCACTGACAAAATGATCTTCCTAAAGCAGAGATTTGACCATGTCACTCCCCTATTCAATGAACTCCAGTAGCTCCTTATCACCTCCAGGTGTAGGGTCCAAAATTATACAATCTACAAGAAAACTACTAAGATAGAGATCTGAGCCATTAACCATTTATTAAAAGAACTGAACCCCTTCAATGACTGGGACCTCAGATCTTTCTCACAACCTGAGATGCCTCCTTTCCCCAGGACCTTCCTCTTATGGGGCTTGATACCCAGAAACTCAGAAGAGGCAAAGTAAAATACAGAGTCTCATTGGTCAATAGACCTTGCTTTTGACCCTCTAGGAGGGCCAGAAATGATACATTAGCATGGGTGGTCACAGGACAGGCAAGGCAAGGGTCATCTCCACTGACCAAGTGGTCATAAGATGGGCCCCTCCTCATGCTGAGCAAGAGGGTGGTCCAGAGATACAAAAATAAATCGGGTAACTTTCCATATCACATCAAGGTATCCCACCCACGCTGGGTTTGGTCATCCGCATTCTTGTGGTTAGGCAAGTGAACTTCATAACTAGTAAATAAATAGTGAACAGTGAATTTACCAGTTTTAAAGTTTAAGGCCTACTATAAGAGAGAATCTATCTTATCTAATTATCCCTATATGATATCTGTAAAATATACATTATTATATGTCATTCTTATATTAGTATTAGTTGACTAAACTAAATAAATGTATATTGGTAGACAAGTGTATCATTGATAATTGCTAACAATCATTACCCCAATGGAATCACATTGAACTGATTAATAGTGTTTGGAATATAATAGGGGTCCAATAAATCATTTCTCTCATAGGATCAAATATAAAATCCTTTTGTCTAGCATTCAAAGTCTTTCATATCCTACTCCTTCTTTAAACAGTGCAAGTCTTCTTGCACTTTACTTCCATATACTCTTCTACTCTTGCTATTTCTCATACAAGACACTCCATCTCCCAACTCTGAGCATTTTCACTAGCTGTCCCCCATGCCTGGAATGCTCCCCCTCCTCATCTCCTCCTGGCTTCCTTCAAGTCCCCACTAAAATACCATCTTCTACAAGAAACCTTTCCCCAATCCCCCTTAATGCTAGTGTCTTCCCTTTGGTGATTATGTTCAATTTATCCTGTACAGTTTGTTTGTACATAGTTGTTTCACTCATTCGACTGTGAGTTCCTTGAGAGCAGAGACTGTCTTTTGCCTTTTTAGTACCCCCATTGATGAGGACAGTGCCTGGCACACAGTAGGTGCTCAATAAATGCCTATTGGTTGACTATATGAGGAAAAATTTCTCAGCACATCTATTGACACTCACAAGGGCTCACTAGCGAGCCACAATATACCCTTTGAATACCACTCCTCTACACCATCTATCAGTGATCTTGTTTGTTGTTATAACCTCTGGGAAATGAACCTT